CCCACAACCGATTGCGAACGGTCCTGGCAACCCGTGCAACAGTGCCCGCGCGGCTGCCACGTCCGCGAGGGCCTGGCCGCCAAGTGTCGTGGCCTCGCGTCTCAAAAACGCCGCGATCGGCTTGGCCGCAACCACGCCCGTGTACTCGCGGACCCGCTCGCCGGACCTGTACAAGACCAGGATGACTGGGAGGAACCTGGGCTGGCCAAACTTGAAGCTGGAAAGGCTACCGTCCTTCTGCTTCGGCTCCTGCCAACTGAGCCTCATCTCGGGTGCCATGTGCCTGCTCAAGTACGTGTTCACGACTGCGTTGCAAGCGACGACGGTGCCGACAGGCTCGCCGGCCTGCGCGAGCTCCGCAAGCGCGTCGGCGGTCTCGTCCAGGTGAGGCTGCAATTCCTTGAAGGACTGCGACCTCGGATCGTAGAAGGCGACGAGCGTCTGACTGGGGCCAGCGACGGTGGCGTTGAAGCTGCGCGTGTCGGTGAACCGCATGTGCGCGCTCCTGAAGCGCACCTCCCCCTCGCGCCACCAGGCGCCCGTCTGGGCAGCCGGGCCCCGCAGCGGTGCGGTGGCGTCTCCGCCCGCCGCGCACGACCCGTCCGCGCTTTCGGCCGTGCAGCTGCCGTGCCGCGCGGCCTCTGGGCTGGCGGCGCTGTGAGGGGCAACGATGAAGGTGTGACAGGCTTCAGGGGGGGGGGAAACATCGAGCTAGAATCGGCGATACATCGCCGATATGGGGCCTGATAGCCCACCCCGCCCAGGAACGTGAGGATGCGGAATCGGAGACCAATCGCCGATCTATCGGCGGTGTATCGCTGATTCAAGCTTGATGTTGCCCCCCCCGAGCCTATCCCCCCCTTGTCGTTGCCCCTGATGCTGGCGCACACCGAGGCCAGCACCGCCGACACGACCATGCGCGGCGCCAGCGCCGCGACCGCTCGCGCCGAGGCGCCGCACGGCCTCTGCGGGCGGCGGTCGGGCACCACGCGGCGAGCCCGAGGGCCCGGCGGCGGCGGGCAGGGCTGGGCAAGCGCAGCCGCGGCGCCGGCGAGTGGCGGCGGGGAGCGGGGCATGGAGGAGCCGCGGCGCTGGCGAGCTGCCCCGTGGGGCCCCCGAAACCGATGGAACCGAAGTGGCTGGAGCACAGCGAGAAGCCTGGGGGAGGGCGGGGTGCGAGCGAGCGAGCGAGGGAGCCGTGCGCGCCCAGCGATGGAGCTCACTCTCCGTCCATCTGCGGCCGCGGCGTGGGAGAGGCCGCAGCCTCAGGAGGGCAGGAGAGGGCCGAGCAAGAGGGAGGAGGAGGTTCGGATCCCTCCGCTGAGCGGTTCTCGAAAACTGCTTGGCTCGCTGGTTTCCTGCTCCGCAAGAAAACCTCTGCGAGCATTGGAAATCGAATGCCGAGCCCCACGTGCTGTCTGGTCGAGGTTCCGTGGAAGAGAGGAGGAGGAGGAGGGGGGGGACAAGGGTGGGTGGGACGAGCACGAGGGGAAACGTTTGGGGAACCAACTCAGGGGGGGGGGGAGGGCAACCATCGACCTGGAATCGGCCATACATCGCCGATGGGTCTTCGATTGCGCCGATGGCGAGACCGCACGTTCCTGGGCGAGGCGGGCAGTCGGGCCCCCATCGGAGATGAGTGGGCGATTGAGGGTCGACGCGTCCCCCCCCCCCCCCGTGAACCTGCCGTAGAGGAACACATCACACCATGAACACAGTTTCTCGGAGGTCCGCGCGGATTTCTTGGATCGGCGCTGGAACGCGCGACGGGCGGCTCGACGCCGATCCAAGAAGTCCGCGCGGACCTCCGAGGAAGCGTGCATGCCGCTCCTTATTCTTCTGCATCCCCCCTGATGTGGCCCAGCGAGCAGGAGGGGGCAAGACGATGAGGAGGGCCGTGGCCCCTGCGCGGGAAGCGGATCCACGGGCCGCGGGCCAGTGTGACATGTGCGACCGCACGCCGAAGCGCAAGCGTTCCGCTGGGTCACGGAATGGAAAATCGCTCGTCTCTAATTTGTGGGCGGAGCGCCCTCACACCCGATACAGAAACCTCCCAAATGGGGTCCGAGCAAATGAGGTCGGATGATCCCAACGTATCGCCGATACATCGGCGACGTCGGCGATGCACCGGCTCCACATCGAACCGCATATCGCCGATGCATCGGCGATGCAGCGCGATCCTCCGACCCGATCTACTCGGACCCAAGGCCGTGCACGGCGATAGCAAAATCGAAAACCGAACCGAAACCAAAACGAAACCGAAACCGGCCGAAACTGGCAGGCCGGAAGCAGCCTGGACGGGCGCAGCAACGCAGCAACGACACGATAACCGACCGAACCGAACCGACCAAACGAAACCGACGGCGACGCAACCGAACCGCGGACACCCCGATGCATCGGCGATGCGGCGCGATCCTCCGACCTCATCTACTCGGACCCCAACTGAGTGACGAAAAGAAACGGGTCTCACGCGAGATGACGTGGCGACCTTACGCGGTGGCTTATGCGGGCCGCCAGCGCGGCACGCTGCACTGCAAATGAAGGCGCTTACGCGCGACCTTACGCGGGCAGCTCGCCCGCGAATGTCGGTACAATCAAAACTGTTTTTTGGTTCTGGGCAAAGGGGGTCGTTTGTAATGGTGCCGACCAAAAATGCAATAGTTCATCCTGTGGCTCATGGCGCGTGGTCTCTCTCACGGACCAACGATACCAAATGCAACGCGCTCTGCCTGCACCCAGCATGCTCCAGCACGAACGATTGCATGACCCTCCCCTTGCAACGAACACATTCGCCCGAATCTGAGTTTGTCTGCGTCGCCCATCTTCGGGGGCGTCCAAGAGGGGGGCGCCAAAGAGGGGGGTGCGCAAATCACGGCCCGAGGCGTGTGCGCGGACGAGGGGGGCACCAGGGGACGTGCTGGAACAAGAGGAGGCGCCATGAAATCTTGGTAGATATCATAGCCTCGGCCATGATCTGTCGCTGCGCCGTTTGTTTTGAACGCGCCCAAACCACGGCAAACCCGCAGAGCCCCGGGCCCCGCACCCCAAATAGACGACGCCGCCACGCTGCACACCCCACAGCGAGCCCACCGCGCCCGAGGCGGCGTTTGCCCTGGTGGCCGCGCGTCGGAACAAACGGCGCGGCGACAGATCCCCCATCCCGTGCAGTCAACCCGTATGGGAAGGATGCGCGGTAAGGATGCAAGGGCCTTGGACGGTCACGCCGACACGTTGCGAGCGTGGCGCGGCCAGCGAAAGCGGCCAAGGATGGGCCGATGGGAAGGGTGCGAGGGTGACCTTGGAAAGTTGCTCATCCTTGCCATGCGGCTGGACTGTAGTCATCCCCCCCCCCCCTCGTGGCCTCCCCTGACACCTGGGAGGCCCAGGCCGGACACCTGGGAGCGGAGCGAGGCCGCAATGAGACGGCCGCGGCCCCATCGGCGGGTGCGCGTGGGCCTCCGAGGCGCAGGGCCACGGCGCGACCTCCGCGGGCGCGGGGCTTCGCGGCCGCGGGGCGGCGCGGCCACGGCGAGAGGTGGCGACGGTCGGCGTCGGCGAAGAGGACGGCGCGACCACGGCGAGGGGCGGCGGTCGGCTATCGTCGACGGCCGCGACGAGGACGAGGAGGACGGCCTGGAGGACGAGGGCGAGGAGGACGACCGACGACGACGGCGGACGACGGCGACCGACGGAGGACTCCTCCTCCTCCAGGGGTCCAGGAGGAGGAGTCTTCCAGGAGGAGTCCCAGGGACGACCTCCTCGTTCTCCTCCCCAGAGATTCCTCCTCCTACTCCACCTCTTCCTGCTGCTGCTGCTGCTCCTCCTCCTCCTCTTTCGCTTTGTCTTCGGCGGGGAGGACGAGGAGGAAGGCGGGGGGGAGGGGCGGCGGTGGCCGTCGACGGCGACTGCGACGAGGACGACGAGGACGAGGAGGACGACCGACGACGACGACGAGGAGGAGCGACGACGACGACGACTGAAGACGAAAGGGACGACGACGAAGAGGGTGACGACGAAGAGGACGACGACGAAGAGGGCGACGACGACGACAAGCACGACGAGGAGGACGACGACGATTTCCGACGACGACGACGACGGCGGCGGCGGCGACGACGACGACAACGTTGTGTTCTGAGGATTCTGGGCGTTCCAAGAGGTTCCTGTCGTTGTGGCTGGACGCTGCTCGAAGAGCGGCGGGGATGAGCCCTGGGAGGTGTTCAGGGGGCAGATTTTGAGCGGACTTGATCGTACGAAATCGACGAGGATGAAGAGCACGAAAAGGAGCGAGGGGAAGGACGTGAAGGGTGGAGCGGGAGGGAGGGATGCGGAACATGAGGCGAGGCGGATAGCGCGCCGTGCCGAAGCGTGGTGGGCCAGAGCCGGCGGACCGGCGCGCTCTGAGCCAAAGTTCCTGACCGCAGACCACTCCCCCAGAGGGACCAGCTTTCCTTCATCCTGAGCCGTTCTGGACGGTCCCAGGGCCCGGTGAAAGCTCTCTGGGGCCGAAAACGTCCAAACACCTCCCGTCGTGATGAGCACGCCGTAGCTGGTAAGAGGGGAGCGCGCGCTTCCCGCGCGCGCGTGCTGCCATGCCGTCCATCAACGCCGAGGGTCATCTCGCCCAGGAGATCCTCACCAATGGATCCCCTGAGCTAGGAGAAGAGGATGAGAAGACTACAGTCGGACCTAGGCCCTAGGCCAGAATAGCATCCCTCAAGAACATGAGACCCTCCGTCGGCCAAAACAAATAGAACATCCAAGGGTACCCTCCCCAGGATGCACAATAACATCCAACAAGCACGAAGAACACTAGGGTACTCTCGCCGAAACGACCTCGATCTTATACCTCGGTCCGACTGTACTCGTGTGTCAGGTTGCATCGACATTTTTCTCGCAGCGCGAGGGGGCCTGGGGGGGGGCTCTGGGCCCGCAGACCCTCTGCAGCGCCGCGCCGCGAAGCTTGGCACAACGCGCGAGGCGCCAGCGGCGGCGCCCCGTGGTCACTGCTCCTGGTCCTCTCGTTGGCGGCGCGCACGAGGCGGAAGGGGGGAGGGTGGGGGGAAGGCTTCTTCGAAGGAGGGCTGCTTCTTCGAAGGAGGGCTGCTTCTTAGATGGCGCTGGCCCTACATCTATAGGTGAGGCCCGAGCCTTCTAAGAGTCAGGGGTGCTTCCGAGAAGCCTCCCCCCCTCTCCCTACCACCTTCTGCGCGTGGCTGATCCAAGTTACACGCAGGAGGCAGGAGTCACACGCTCCATGGAGCTGGGCAAGAGGGGCATTTGGTGCGCGGCTTTGCAGGGCCGCGAGGGCCCGAAGGCCATGCGCGCATGCCCAAGACGTCCGGCGTCTCGATTCTTTCGAGGCATGGGCCCCGACCTCTCGACCACTTCCCGGGACCATCTTTCATCCCGAATCGTTTTTGACGGTCCCGAGGCCCAGTAAGGGCCCCGAGAGGCCGAACGGCGAGCAAAAACCAGCCTCGATCTTTTCGAGATGCCCGATGTCGTGGGCCCAGTGCTGGGGGCACCCCTGTGGGCCCGTACCAAAAGTCACTCTGGCGAAGGGCCACTCTTGCGCGTGGCCAATCCTGAGGGGGAGCGCTAGGGGGGGGGACAGGCTCAAGGGGGGAAACATCGACCTGGACTCGGCCATACATCGCCGATAGAACGGCAATCTGCCCCCGATATCGAATCTGCACGTTCCAGGACGGGGCGGGCTGTCGGGAACCTGTCGGCTATCAATGGGCGATTCGGGGTCGATGCATCACCCCCTGAGCCTACGGTCTGGAACTTTTGCTTAGCGCGTCGCGGCCGCGGCCCTGGCGACACGCTGTGACGTGCAAGCGGATAGCGTGTCGCTCCGCTCCGCGGGGCGGGTCGCTGGGGAAAGCTCGTCACGTGGACGCCTGGGGACTGGGACGTGGACAGCGCGCCGCGCCGAAGCGTGGTGGGCCAGAGCCGGCGGAGCGACGCGCGCTGAGCCAAAGTCCACCGCCTGAAGTGGCCCCCGACGTCCTCCAGCGCGGCGAGGCGCAGGTAGCCTCCCTTCGGCGAGGATGGCGCTGCAGGGCCAGCGGGGGCCGCGGCGACCGCCCCCTGCAGGCGTCGTGGGGGGGGCAGGGGCAGGGAGTGTGCGCGCGCGGTGTGCCGCGGACGCGGGGGCGCCACGGACGGCCCAAGAGGCGCCCCCCAAACTGCCCCCGGGACCTCCCAGACGGCCCAGGGGTGTCCCAGGAGCGTCCCAAGACGGCCCACTGGGGCCCCCTGAGACGGCCTCCGAAGACCGAGCGGCTCCTTGTAGGCCCCCAGGGCCCCAAGAGGCCCCCGAAAGGCCCTCAGAGGCCCCGCCCCCCAGGAAGCCCTCAGGAGGCCCCTAATAAGCCTCCTCCTCCTCCTCCTCATCATCATCATCATCATCCCCCCCTTCTCTCTGTCTGTCTGTCTGTCTGTCTGTCTGTCTGTCTGTCTGTCTGTCTGTCTGTCTGTCTGTCTGTCTGTCTGTGTGTGTGTCTGTCTGTCTGTCTGTCTGTCTGTCTGTCTGTCTGTCTGTCTGTCTGTCTGTCTGTCTGTCTGTCTGTCTGTCTGTCTGTCTGTCTGTCTCTCTCTCTCTCGCTCTCTCTCTTTCTCTCTCTCTCTCTCTCCCCCCTCTCTCTCTTCCTCACACAAGGGCTCCCCCAAGGGTTTCCGCAACGGCCCGGGGATACATTACAAGACTTGGCAAGACATTCCAAGGGTTCAATAGCTTGGCAAGACTTCGGCCCAACATTTGGCCACACAGCCATTTCCAAAAGACAGGGTGTACTGGTGGTTCGCCGCAGGTGTCTTCGATCAACTCTCCTAGCTTCTGCCATTACTTCCGCCTACATCTGTGATGCTGTTTGTCCTTGATTGTCTCCTCCTGCCACGGAGGGTTTGGTGGGGTTGACCGCGGAGAAGGGTCGAGAAGTCGTAGCAACTATGACGTTTTGCAGGTGTGCGAGATACGCTTGTGCGCAGTGGTCGAAGGTTCCAGCCCCGTGCCCGCCGAAAGGGGGTAGCAGACTCCTGGGAGTTAAGCTCAGGGGGCCAGGGCACTCCGGGCACCTCATCACAAGGAAGCCGCCGCCAGGTTTCTTTCGCAATCGACGCCCAAGACATGCCTGGGGGACCGTCTCGTGATTTCGTTTCCCCCCCAAGCGGCCAACATCTCCCGCTTCGCCGCCAGGGCAAGGGAGGGCCGAGAGATCTCCGAGCTTCAGGCTGGAGCAGGGTTCGCCCCCTGGCCGCCCGCAGAAACTCTCCCTCCCCCTTCTCCCCTCTCCTTTCCCTCCCTCCCCGTCCTTTGAGAGGGAACGTTAGTGGGGGTGGGGACTGGCTCAGGGGGGGGGGCCATTAAGCTCGAATCGGCGATGCGTCGCCGATAGATCGGCGATAAGCCTCTGATTGCGAAACTGCACGTTCCTCAGGCGGGGTGGGCTATCAGGCCCATAACTTCAGCCCATCCCCCCCACCCCTCATGCCCCTGGTGGTTTTCGGGCCATAACTTGGCTCTCCAGCGGCCGTTCGGGACGATCCAGGCACCCCTGGATCCCAGAAGCCCTTCGGCGAAGCGCAGCCGCTGGAACGCACCCCGAAGCTGGAACACCGACGAGAACCGACGAACACGTCCACATGTTGCCCCTCCTCCTCCTCCTCCTCCTCCTTTTTCTCCGCCCTCCCCCACTCCTTCCCCTCCTGTGAAGGCCCCCGCCCCTCCCCTTGCCGCTCTCCTCGGGCGCCCCGGGGCCACGCAGCACTTCGAACTCCAGCACCGCCGTCGCCTCGCGGCCGTCGGCATCCCGCGCCAGGACGCGGTAACGCGAGCCCGCCGCAGCCTGCCGGTCGCCCGCGTCTTCGCCGCCGCCGCCGTGGCCCCGCAGAGAGCTCAACCGAGGGCCCAAATGGCAGGGTTCGCAAGGCGGCACCGCCCTGAGATCCTGGCGCTGCAATCTTTTCGAATCGGGCGTTTTCACATAATCCCGCCAGCCCTCTGGGCTGAGTGGTCTAACAGAATTCCCTGCCACAACCCCTTCTTGCCCAGCCCAGGGAAGGGGCTTCTCACTGTTGTTTCTTATTAACATGCAGCCCCTTCACCAGGCGACCGGCAGCCAACCATGAACAATGCCGACCCAATGCTCACCCCTCCTCCAACCATCCCTGTCCCCCCCCAAAAGAAAAAACACATTCAGCCTCCAAATTCGGAGCATGCGCAACCAACCCGATGCGCCCCCCCCCCCCCCCCCCCCCATCATCCCTGTCAAAAAACAATACAAAGTACACTTTGGGGGAAGGGTTGAGTCATGTTCGTGAGGCCCGCGAGCACTTTGTATATTTTTTTGACAGGGACGGCGGGGGTGCCAGCATATTGCCTGCTGTGCGCAGGGCAATACAAAATGCACCTCGTCGCGTCTAAATCTGGATCATGCGCGGCCACCCCGCGATCACTCAGGTGGTTTTTGACAGGGATGGCGGGGGTGGTGGCGTATGGCCTGCTGTGCGCAAGCCCACCAGACACAATGATGGGCATTGGTTTTCGACATGGATGGTGGGGGCCGGCATGTTTACCGATGTGTGCTGTCACGTGCGCAGGCGCGCCCGACACACTCTGCAAGTGCCCTGAACGTGGCGCACCTGGCGGGGCTGGAGTATGCGGCACACCTGGCGCACGCGGAGCACGTGGCGCATCTGGCGCACCAGGCGTGCCTGGCACACTCGGGCCCCAGGGGTGCCTGGCGCGCGAGGCGCGCCCGGCATGCGTGGCGCACCTAGCCCTAGCGTCGCGCACATGGGGTCGGTTTTGGTTCCTGGTAGCTGTCCATCCAAAGACGACAGCCCAAGAGGGCCTCCAAGATGGCTCAAGAGACATCAAAATCGCTCAAGATAGACTCCGACAAGCCTCCAAGACGCCCCTAGACAGCCCCCAAGAGGGGTCCAAGTGCCATTCCCGCCTCCCAAGGCACCGCTCAAGAAGCCAACATCCTTCAAACACCAAAAGGAAATCACGTTTTTTTGGCTTATCGCTTTTTCGCTTCCGATGGGCTTCTTGGGCCTCATGATGGCTCCAAGATCACCGTAGAGAGACCCCAGAGGGGCCCAAGACGGACCCCAGAAGGCCCCAAGAGCGCCCAAGAGGCGCCCAAGAGCGGCCCAAGAGGCCCCCGAGATGCTATCTTGGAGCTTCCGAGGGGGGGGGCCTAGATAGATTTCCCCTCTTCTTTGATCGATCTCCTCCAAGATGGTCCCAAGAGAGCCTCAAGGGGTGCCCAAGACTGTCCAGGTCCCCCAGACCAAGCCAAAGAGCCACAAGAGGACCCCTAGACCCTCCAAAAGAGCCCCAGAAGGGCCGCTAAAAGCGCTCCAAGTGGCTCCGCGAGGACCCCAAGAGATACCCAAGACGGCTCCGAACGACCTCCGAGAACACACTTCTATCAAAAACTTCAGGCCCCGGGACCCTCACAAATCGATCCGGCATGAAACGTGCCGCAGAATGATGGGGTCCAGGGCTCCAATCATGATTTTTACGATGTTGTTATTTGTTTGCGTCGTCAGATCTCAGGGCGCGTCCATGTCGGCACGCCCCTCGCACGTTTCGTGGCCCTATCAAGAGCTCCAGCAAGGGCCCAAATGGCAGGGTTCGCAAAGCGGCACAGCGGCCACATGTCGGTACGCCACTCACACGTTTCGCTGCCCCACAGGGAGCTTCACCGAATGCTCAAGTGGCAGGGTTCGCATGGCGGCAGCGCGCTCATGTCGTCACGCCTCTCACTCGTTTCGTGGCCTTCATCCGCGCTGAGCCCGCCAGCCAGTCCCAAGCTTCGTCTCTCTCGCGGCGCGCTATTTCTGGGGAGAGGGTCATGCCCTGCGTTGCTCGCAGCTGCAAATGGTCGGATCCGTCGCCAAGCTATTTTCAATCAGGGCGTTGTTCCTGGACTCCAACCTCCGGAACGCGTTCCCGGGCCCTGGGGCCATCGAGAGAGGACCTGGGACGAAAAACTACTCTCGGGGAAAGGGTCGGCAGCGGCCCAGATTGAACAATCATGTCGGAAGATGTCGGGCCAAGATGTCTCCGAGATCGTCCAAGAAGAGGGCACCCAATCGCCAAACGATCGGTCGAAACCGCCCTCACGTCCTCCAGACTGCCCAGGAGACCTCCAAGACGCCCCAAGAGGCCTACAGAGGCGTCGCCGTCTTCAGGGTCGGCGGCACCGGCCGTAAGGCCTTCGCAATCCTGTCGGAAGATGTCGGGCCCATGCGTCCATCCGTCGTCGTCCGCGAGGTCCTCGAGGCCCTCGAGGACGAAAAACTACTCCCGGGGAAAGGGTCGGCAGCGGCCCAGGTTGGAAAATCCTGTCGGAAGGTGTCGGGCCCGTGCGTCCCTCCGTCCGTCCGTCGTCCCCGGGGCCCTCGAAGACAGTCTCTGGCTTCTCCGGGCCTCTCGGTGGGCGCCTCGTCGCCACGGCAGGGTCCGCCTCGGGGTCCTAGTCAGGAGGCGCCCCAGCAGAGGTCGGGGACGCCGCCGCCGCCGCCGCCCGCGTCGTCGTCGTCGTCGTCGTCGTCGTCGTCGTCGTCGTCGTCGTCGTCGTCGCCGTCGTTCTTGTGGTTTTCGTCGTTTTCGTCGTTTTCTGAATCGTTTTCGCAGGTTTCGTAGTTTTCACAGGTTTCATCGTTTTCGTCGTTTTCGACGTCGTGGTTTTCTTAGCTTTCGTCGTTTTCGTCGTCGTCGTCGTCGTCGTCGTCGTCGTCGTCGTCGTCGTCACCGTCGTCGTCGTCGGCGTAGTCGTCATCGTCGTCGTCGTCGTCGTCATCGTCTCCACCCTTCGTCTTCGTCGTCGGCGGCGGAGTGCGGGAAGTGGACAGGGGGTGGGGGGGCGCGACGCCGCGACGTGGACTGACGTGCTCAACCTGATAATTCGACCAATCAGGACTACGCTGGAAGCTTGGGCTGGCTTTCTTCTACAATCTTGAGCACACGCCGAGCTGTTCATGCGCGTGCGACCCCCTTGTAATACGTAACACATTGAAGAACTTATTTTGCCGTTCGTTCGCACGCGTCTTGCATGCCCCGAACGGCAGACCGAACTGAGACAACAATGGGGATTACAAGCCGGGCCAATACTGGGGAAGGTACAGAGATACCGAACATGAGTCTTTTCATTGACCGGCGCTGCTGTAAAGCAATCAAGGCAACTTCTCTGATGCGACAGCTGTGGAGCGCACGGTACAATCAAACTGCGCAAACGAACACAAGAGATCAGAACCACCGACCTCTGCAACTGCACAATGCCTGTGAACAAACGCGCGAACAAGTCAATTCGGAACTGTCAGCTCTGACATTGCGCATTTAGATTCGGCGCGCTGGATAATAGCCAATGTGGACGGGGGATGGGTTAGAGCGCCGATCCTGCCATGGGTTCCGTAGGAGTTCAATGATATGCAGAGAGCCCGTTGACCCAAAGGGCAGCATCCTCACTCCATCTCATTCCAGTGCATCAATATCTGAGCCGAGATGGCGACATCTGAGGCAACGAAAAGGAGGGAGATGGGTAAACACACAGCTAACAGCCTGGGGATGAAACCTCCACCATTCCCTATGCCTGCACCGTGCGGCTCCCATTGCGGCGCAGAACCTCCCTGGAAAAGGTATACGAATTCCGATGGCTTCTTGGTGGGCCCGACTGGCCTGGCTGCAATGGAAAAAGGTCGTCGGTGCTTCCGCTTTGTCTCGCCAGCAGCTCTGGCCACCCCTGCTGCCGTGGCAAGCCGACGCCGCCGATGTATCACCGATGCATTGCCGATGCCTCGGCGATGCTCGGTGATACTCCGAGCCCATCTGTTCGGACCTCGCATGCGAGGCCTCCACTACCGCGGAGGGAGAGGAAGCGAACCATTGAAAAACACCTCCGCGCTGGCTGCGCCCAGGGCCCCACACCCCAGGCGCCTGGTTGGGCAGGCCCCACACCACGCCGCTGGCGGCCTCCAGCACCAGCCCCTCGCCGCATTTGGGGGAACGCCTCCGCCTGCGCCTCCTCCTGCACCTCCTCCTCCTCCTCCTCCTCCTCCTCCTCCTCCTCCTCGAGTTCTTCATAGAGGCCCTCTCCATCCGCCATCGTGCCCGCTAGCACATTGGGGCGTGCTAGAATGCCAAGTACTGTCTGGTAGGGTGCCTGTGATTTTCTCAAAGCCCCCCACCCAGGACGCGCCCAGCCGCACGCGCCACCCTCTCTTTCCGAGACCAATCCCGTGCAACATGTAATAGATTTGCGCTCCCGACGCCCAGCTGCCTCCAAGACGGCTCAAGATCGCTCCAGGACGGGCCACTTTGGCCTCAAGACGGCCCAAGATGACTTCAAGACGGCCCACGAGGCCTTCGAGGCGTCTCAAGAGAGCCCCGAGAACTTTCCCAAGAGGGCTTCGAGAGGCAAACATCGATCAGTTTCGGTGTGCTTTTAACCTGTTCTTCGGTTCTCGCCTCTTCGAGCTTCTGACGTCCCAAGACGGCCCACGCGGCCACAAGGACCGCCCCAAGACGGCCCAGGATGCCCCCAAGAGGGTCCCAAAACGGCCCACGAGGGCTCCAAGACGGCTTCAGAGTTGCGCAGGAATGCTCCCAAACGGCCCCAAGACGGTGAACACGAATCGTCAATTCCAGCCTTCCGCCCCAAAAGGGCTCAGCAGGCCACAAACTTGCCAAAAATGGCCCCTAAGAGGCGCCCCAAAGGGCCCCGAGAGGCGAAAACCATTGATTCACCAAAGCTTTATCACTAGCTTATGGGTTCTCGTTTTTGTCGAGCTTCCGACCCTCCAATACGGCCCCAGAGGCCCCCAGGACCCTCCCGAGATGGCTCAAGAGGCCCCCAAGAGAGCCCCAACACGGCCCAAGAGGGCCCCAAGGCGGCCCAAGAGGCGCCCTAGAGTGGGAACATGAACCCACAATTCGAGCCTTTTGGTCCCCTTGTCTTCTCGAGCAACTGCCACCCATAATGCTACACTGGCACGGTGGCGGGATTGCCGGAGGCAGATGGATAAAAAAACCCGTGCGCGACACGCCGAGCAAGACAGTTTCCAACCGTAGATGGGGTTGGATTTCCGACGAATCGGCGGCGTCGGCGTGGAGCAAGTCGGGCTCCACATCGGGCCGCACCGCCGATGCAGCGGCGATGCGGCGCGATCCTCGGACCCCAGCTGCCCGGATCCCACCGAAGAAGCCTGGAGCCATGGCGAGCCCCGTCCGTCGCCGCCGCCTCCGTCGTCCGTCGCTGTTTTCGTCGTCGACGTCGTCGTCGTCGTCGTCGTCGTCGTCGTCGTCGTCATCGTTGTTGCCCTCGCCGTCTCTGTCGCCGTCGCCGTCGCCGTCGTCGCCGTCGCCGTCGTCGTCGCCGTCGTCGTCGTCGTCGCCGTCATCGGCTCCTCTGGCAGAGGCGGCTCCACGCTCCACTCGACGGGCGTCGCCAGCTCCGCGTCCAGCCGCGGTGCCAGCAGCACTGGCTGCCCGACCGAGTAGGCCGCCTCGGCCTCGGCTTGCGGGAGGCGGCTGCGGCGGCGGCGACTGCGGCGGTCGCTTCCGCGCTGCCGCCGCAGGGAGGGAGGGAGTGGAGTGGAGTGGAGTGGACCCGTCGCAATGCGAATCACATGACCACCACTACAACTAAATGCTCCTGCTGCCCCCCCGCCTGCCGCGAAGTGGAAAACCTCAAATATGAAATACGACGTGGGGCGTTCACCATGATTGCAGGTCCTTCGGCACACCACGGAACTCCTCCGAGACAAAATTCAAACACGCGGGGCTGTCACTGTTATTTCAGGTCCTTCATGTTCCTTCGGCACATCACGGGAAACTGAATGGTAAAACGCAACATGTACGTAAAGAACACGCACGCCACGCACCAAGAGCTTTACTGCGGTGAATGCTGGCAGATCCGAGTACACGAGTAATAGCTCGTGACACTGCTGAAACCAGCGGCTAAGCGAATGCAGAAACTTGACCACTGCCGAGCTACAATCCACCCACCAAAGGCGTTGGGCGGTGAGGGAGGGAGAGGGAAGCGAGGCAGGGAGTTTCTGTTTTCTCATTCTTCTCCTCCTTCTCCTCCTCCTTTTCCCTCAGGGAGTGGTGGGGTGGGGAGAGGAGGAGGGGAGGCAGGGAGGAAGGAGGCAGGAGGAGCAGCAGGAGGAGCAGGTTAGGATTTTTACAAACAAAACTTCTCTCTCTCTCTCTCTCTCTCCTTGGGCCTCCCCTCGAGCTTCTGGCCTGTGCGCGTTCATGGGCAGTTGCGGGGGTCGACTTTGAGCTTTTAGGGGGGGAGGGAGGATGATGGAGGATTGACTTATTTTTGTGCGTTTTGGGTCGCTCTCGACTCTCCGAAGTCTAGAGGCTGGGGGGACGGGAGGGACGGATCGGGACGGGAAGGTCCTTTGGACGCTTTGGTCCTCTGACGATTCCTCTGGAATCTCACAGAAGCCTCCTGTTGCCTCCAAGGACCTTCTGGAACGTCTGGGGGTCAGGATCCGGGGAGGGCACTTACACTTACCAGGAGGGCATGGGTGATCTGGCCTCTGCAACAGCCGCTCCTCCCCGAGGGCGATTGGGACTGGAAGGAGGAGGGAGGAGGAGGGGAAGAGGGAGGGAGAAATGATAGAGGCGGGAAGCCGAGGGCGGAGGAAGGGGAACGAGGGAGCGAGCTCCCACGGATTGCGGAGTGACCGATGAGGCTGGACTGGGCGGCGGCCACGCTGCTCCGCTGCCGGACAGCGCACGCGCGCAGAGAACGGCGCCAACCATCGGCGAGTCAACAACGGAGCCGGGCGCGGCGACACGGGCTCCACGGAAGAGCCGCGGTGGCCTGGCCGACGAACCACCACTGGGGGAGCCGTGCCCACAGCCCCAGCCCCCGCCTGGGGAAGCCTATCGTGTCGACGATCTCTGAAAAAAAGGGGTGCCGAGGCCGAGGGGTCCCAGCAAAGGGGTACGCGGGGGGCCCTGCCACGAACAAACATGTTGCGCTGGAGGAGAAGGAAGAATGGGAGCGCGCCGACCACACACCCGCCGACACAAGCCCATGCTGGGCCCAAGATCGGTGCCGTGCCCCTGGCCTCTCTGCCAGCCTCCTCCGGCCGGCCCCTTCCCCGACTGAACCTGGCCTGGCCCGGCGCCGTGGCCGTCGCCAAGTCAGCGATGAAAGGAAACGGGACTTACGCGCGATGACACAGCAACCTTGCGCGGTGGCTTGCGCTGGCCGCCAGTGCGGCACGCCACACAAACGAGGCCGCTCACGCGAGACCTTACGCGGGCAGCTCGCGCGCCAAGGTCAGCGCAATCGAGCCCGTTTATGTGCGTCGGTCAACTGCTCTCTTCCCGCCTGGCCCTGTCCCCAGACCCCCGACGCCGTGATTTTGTCACAACGTCGACCCCCAGAGGTCTGGACCCTTTCCCCGAGACCGCTTTCTAACCCTGAGTCGTGTCTTTCTAATCCTCAGTCGTGTTTTGACGGTTCCGAGGCCCGGTAAGGGCCCCTTGAGATAGAAAGTAGCAAACAGAATCGTCTGGCGTGATCTTTTCGCAACGCGAGGGGGGTCCGGGTCCCCCCGCTGCCCCTGGCTGCCCCTGGCTGCCGCCGACCTCGCCGTCGTCGGGCCCCCTCCCCGGCAGCCCGCCAGCCCGGCCCCCGAGGCAGCGGACGCCGTGCTCTTGGCCACACGCGGCCCCCGACGCCTCGGCCCCCCCCCCTCGAGATCCTGCGACTTCTTGGGGGGGCCAGGCGTCTTCGCCCTGCTTCGGGCCCGGGGGCCCTCACGAACTGATCCGGCTCGAGAACTGCAGCAGAAGGGTGGGGTCCCGGGCTCTGGTTGTGACTTTTCAGGATGCTGCATTGTTTTCGCATCGTCGGATCTCAGGGACCTCTCGACTCTCGACCCCTTCCCCCAGAGCCAGCGCTTCATTCCGAGTCGTTCGCCGACGGTCCCCGCGGGCCATGGATCGACTGTCGATCCCCGAATGGTGGCCGCCGATCTCCCCCACCCGGCCTCGTCGCCCTTCGGCCATCCCCGGCGCGGCCCCCGTGCCGAGTCGCTGCCGCATCTTCCTCCGCCCGGCCGTCCCTGACATCCGACGCCACGAAAAAATTAAAACATCGCTGAAAATCGCGGCTGGAGGCCCAGACCTCGCCTTCATGCGCCGTGTCTCGAGCCCGATGCACCTGGAAGTACCCTGGGCCTGAAACTGGGCGAACACCCTCGGCTCGAGCAAACTGAGACGCCAAGCTCCTGACGTCATGATTATTTCATGATCTCGACCCATTCCCAGGACCGGATTTTCGTCCTGAGTCTTTTTTTGACGGCCCCGAGGCCTGGGAAGGGCCCCCAGAGGCCGAGACTAGCGAACAACTCCCCGTCGTAAGTTTACATGACTTGCGGGGGAGTCCGGGACGCCAGGATCCCAAGGCGCGGCCCCGCTCGCCGCCGACCCCCCCCCGCACCGCGAGGCCCTGTGCCCACCCGCCGCGGGCCGTTGGGCCCAGAGGTCTGCCAGGGGGGGTCCGAGTGGGTGGGGCCGAAGGATCGCGCCGAGGTATCGCCAAGGCATCGCCGATGCCTCGGCGACGTCGGCGTGGAGAAACACGGGCTCCACATCGAGCCGCATCGTCGAGTACAGCCGAAACGCTGTTGTAAGGAACCCGAAATCAGGAACGAGGCCCCCTTGTATTACTCAAGTTCAACTTTGACTTCCCATAGAAAGCCTAAGGACAACCTAAGACAACCTGTAGAACAATTAGGGAGCACCGAGCCTCTCCCCAAGGCGAAGGGTTCTTGCTTCAGCGGCCCGACTTTACATCGGCGATGCGGCGCTATCCTTCGACCTAATCTGCTCGGACTCCCCAGGAGAGCCCAGAATCGAATCGTCAAATCGGATCGGACATCGACATGAATCGGATCGACGGAAATCTGCAGCCGAGTCGGGAAAAGTCGAATCGGCAGACATCCACAGGCTAGTGGGCCTCCATTGAGAAATCGGACCCCACCCAAATCGGAATCCGAAGTCGAATCGAATCGGAACCCATCGAGATCGAATCACATCGAATCGGAGGAATCGAAATGAGCTCGGACCCCCTCTGGGAGGCCTCGATTCTACGACGGGCAGCGGCTGCATGGCGAAGGGGGCCAGACGGCGGCCCCCACACCTCCCCGCCCCTCGCTCTGGCTGCGCTCGCACGCACAGGCTCCGCCGAGCAGCAGCAAGGAGGCCGCCTCCCCCCACGGGGGCATCTCCGCGCCTCGCCAGCCGGGGAGGCGGGGGTGCCCGCCCGCCCCACTCCCCGGCCGGAGCAGCCTGGCACCTGCTCTTGCCATCGTTCGGACGTCCATTCCCCGTGCGCTTTTCGATCTCGTGCGCGTCTGTTTCTCGCACGACGATCACAGATGCTCCTCGATGGCCCTCGCCAAACAAAATGCACACGTCCGAGCGATGCCAGGCACCCTGGGAGGCCCAGAGGTGCCCGTGGCTGCCGCGGGGTCTCGCGTCGGCCCCGCGGCTCGGGCCCTTGCTCTGGCCATCTGCCTCGGGCCCCGGCCTGGCCCGTTGGCTCGGACCTCGTGCCCTGGCCGTTTTTTTCCTTGTGTGTGTGTGTGTGCGTGTGTGTGTGTGTGTGTGTGTGTGTGTGTGTGTGTGTGTGTGTGTGTGTGTGTGTGTGTGCGTGTGTGCGTGTGTGTGTGTGTGTGTGTGTGTGTGTGTGTGTGTGTGTGTGTGTGTGTGTGTGTTTGTTTTCCTGGCCATCCTGTGGTGTCGGGTCCTCGTTTTGAAGAGACAGCGCCCCGCGTTCTCCTCCCGCCTCCTCCCTCCTCCCATTGATGCCTCTGCCCTCCGCATGTCCACCAATTCGGCACACCCCTCCCTCACATGTTTCGTGATCCCATAGGGAGCTACACCGCAGGCTCCAGTGGGAGGGTTCGTATGGCACCACCGCGTCCAATCCAGCACACCTCTCACACGGTTCGAGGCCCCGTAGGGAGCTCCACCGAAGGCTCCAGTGGAAGGATTCGCATGGCACCACCGCGCCCAAGTCAGCACACTCCCTCACACGGTTCGTGGCCCCAGAGGATGCTCGACCGAAGGTTCCAATCTCAAAGTTCGCATCACGCCACCGCGCCCAAGTCGGCACACCCCTCACACGGTTCGTGGCCCCATAGGGAGCTCCACCGAAGGCCCTAGTGGCAGGGTTCGCATGGCACCACCGCGCCCAATTCGGCATACCCCCTAACACGTTTCGTGGTCCCATGAGGAGCTCCGCCGAAGGCCCTAGTGGCCAGGTTCGCATGGCGCCACCGCGCCCAAGTCGGCACAACCCCTCACACGGTTCGTGGCCCCATAGAGAGCTCCACCGAAGGCTCAAGCGGGAAGGTTCGCATGGCACCGTCGCGCCCACCTCGGCACACCCCTCACACGGTTCGTGGCCCCATAGGGCGCTCCACCGAAAACTCCAGCGGGAGGGTTCGCATGGCACCACTGCGCCCACTTCGGC